AAACGATATTATCTTGCATTTGGAAGTATTTAGTTCAGTTCCATTTAACGTATACCATTCTGATATCTTATCGACCTCGAGCTGTAGAAATAAGCAGTCGTGGCTACAAGTGATGCTTCCAAAAATTTTCAGCATAGAATAGAAATTTGCAATTGATGAATGTGTTAAGGTCATTAATGAGAACAAAAAAAAAAAAAATAGGGCCCAAATGTGACCCCTGGTGTACATCAGATGTGACTGCAATTTCTCTATAGATACGGCTCCCCTAATAGTAACGAGCTGTGTTCGGTTTCGGAGGTAACTTGCAACCCAAGATTAATAGGGCCTGTGACTGTTTACTCTGTCGAAGAGGCGAAGGCCTTCTTAAAATCACAATAGATCGAATCAACCTGACCCCAGAGTCGATAAAGGTAGACAAGTGATGGAAATAAACACCTATATAAGTTTGTCTGGCATGAATGCCCTGGCAGGAAGCCATGCACGAAAATTGAAGAAATATCATCTAGTCCTGTTCCTTTTTCTCATCTAGTCCGATAAGTTTCTGAAGTATTAGGTAAATCAGGTAAATAATTTGTTTCTTATCTGGACGTATGGTGTTTGTATGGTTCAATAATCAATAGTACATTACACACCTAGGGACTAAAGTGGAACCTACTTTTAATCTCGAGACAAAAAGTTTATAGCCCGAAGGGAGGGCCATAATTTGTCGAGGGATTGAAAAACACTTCAGTCCTGAGGTACACTATTTTATGTACTTTATAAAACACTTTTTTAGAACTTTACGAAAGGTCCCTGTTTCATTTAATCCCTAGGAAATAAAATTAAAATTTAATTCCTTGGCAAATAAAGTGAAATTTAATCCCAGGGATTGAAAGACCCACTTTACTCCCTTGAAACATGGATTAAAAGGGTACTCCCTAAAGTGCATAAACATTTTTTTTCCTCTATTTCATTTTATCGATAAGAAATTTTTGTTTCTTTTCCAGAAAACGATACAGCGAATGATAATTATTGTTTCGATTCCGTAGATGAAGACTAATGAAATGAAATGATAAGTAATCCATATTTGTTAAGAAAAATAAAAAATAATATTTTGTGCCATTTTGTGTCCAAGAATTTGTCCATTATAAAAATTTAAACGTTACATATTACATAACTCTGTTTATTTTCAATTTCAGTAATCGTTTGTCATATTTTCCTAATGTAATATCGTATCCTCTCATTCTGACATTGGAACCCCTATGTCTATTGCGCTCGCGTTCCCATCGAGCGTCATAACTATTACATGCTGTTCTGGCAGACACTTGCAACCGTCAGAATAGGCTGGCATTTTACATATACTTTTTAGATTATTAAAAGAAAATTCCCTCGCAATTTCAGCCTTGTGGGAGCAGGTTATGAATTATCATCCCTATAACATCTTTGCTATCTTCTGGCACATACTTGGAACCCTTGAAATAGATTGTCAATTTTTTTTTACACTTAAACATATGTAAATTGAAACATATAAAAATTGTAGCCTTGTGGGAGAAGGTTTTTTTTTTAAAAAAAAAAATACATTTTCAAAAACTTGAGCGATGATGACGCAACCACGAGATGCCTGCCAGAACGGCATTTCTTAATTGACCGATATTAAAACAATATTTAAAAAATTTGTAGCTTTGTGGGAAACGGGTTAGTCGGATGAACCGCTGGCTCTTAGACTATAAGTGACAACAGGGTCGGGTACAATAAATACAGACTGGCGGAAATTTGCAAAAAAATCTGCGATGATCTTAGGATCGCTTGAATTGACATTGTTAAAACTCATTTTCACAGGATAGCCAGCTGTGTTGCGTTGAGTCTTTCTTAATGGAAATTTTTGACTGTGACTTAAGTATTTTATACTGACACTCATCATAGGTTAATCTAGTGGGTTTATATTTTTTAAAGGCTTTGATTTTCTTATTAATCAGAGTAATTGTTCCTTTTGAAAAATAATTCAGGTATTTTGAAGTTGAGACTCTAGTTTTTGGAACATGTAGGTCAATTGCAATGTATACGACCGTATGGAACATTTCGAGGGCACTATTGATATTATTACAATACAAAAAGCTCCTTTCCATAGATTCACAGCATTCATTCAACAGATCGTTGTCGGCCCCATGAAAATTATACCTAAAGAGTTGCAGATTGCAGATTCGATACATTATCTCCCACAGTGTCAATAAAAAGATCAAGCAGCAATGTTTTTGACTATTATTACGAGTTTCTGAGTTATATAATTTTTTCAATTCAGTTGCTAACATGTCATTTTGAAGATCAGTAAATATGAGGCTGGGTCTTTTATTTGTGAGAAGAATTTTCAATGAAATAAATTTAGTTGTATCTACAACTGGATTGGGATCTTAGTTTACATCTGTGTCAAGTTTTTGCTGACTTGATGCAATTTTTGTATCGCTTATTCTTATTGATTCATATGTAGGCTATTTGATTTCTAATGATCCTCTCTACAGTGTCAGCGTTAGAGATCCAGTGTATAGACGCCTAGCTGGAAGTTTGAGTTTCTGACTTTTTTGTTAAGCTAAGGGTAGTTCATTATCTGGCTATTCATTAGTTAGATCGCACAGTTGAATAATATTAACGTTGAACGGTTTAGAGAATTTAGCTGTAGGAATATGACTTAATCTGATATAGGAATAAAAGAGATAACTTATTTTAAAGTATCTTCATTTAGAATAGAATAACTGTTAACCATATTGTAACGCCGTTACAATATGATTTTGTTCGTCATTATCGTAATAGATAATGATAGTCGTCTATCGCAATCACCTGATTTGGGCCATCTCAATTCGCCGACTCCCAAAATTTCAATGTCCAATTTTTTCATTTCGTTGCTGACATTATTCAATTGTTCTTCCTGAAACATACTGTTTACGTTCTATAGGTTGCAATATTCTTTATGACTGTACCAGATATTCTTAAAAAGTTGAAGGTGATATTTTTTTCTCGATTTTGGTGTGAGAATGTCATTATTCTCGCACGCAAAATCGTTGTAGAATAAAGCTCATTCTTCAACGATTTTTAGTGACATTTACTTTTCAAAGTACCTATTGGCATACCTTCAAAATTGCCAAACTTTCTAAAATAATTAAAAAAAAATAGAATCCACCTGTCAGTTGGTTGGTAGGTACCTAAGTATCACCAACTGACATATTTTGCAAAAGAAAAATCCCCAACTGACAGCGACCACAAAAAATTGCTAAAAAATGAAAAATGAAATCCAAAATCGAGAAAATAGTATAAAATTCACGCTACAGAAGGTTATTCTCGCACTCATTCGTTCTTCCACTCGGTCCTTCGTCGCTCTTTGCCAAATTTCGAATTCGTGCGAGAATATGTGGCCTTCTGCAACTTGTATTTTTATATATTGTCCGTCGATTTTAATCTGATACTCGGACGGAATGTGAGCTGGTGGCTCCCTACATTAGAACGTCAATGGTTACCTGATGTCACACCTGTTTTTGCCATATGAACCACCCCCTCGCTCCTCATACGAAAAGTATCAGTTAAAAATCGACGAACAATACTATTCTGGCACCCTCTCTACGTGGAAAGAAACTGCAACTAAAATGAAATTTGATGCGAGTATTCACCTGCAAAATAATATTGTACTCTATTTTTTAATGAATTTGTTTCAACCCTTTTAAGCTCACTATAGCAAGCTGTGTTAAATGCCTATACTCGAAATATTTTACTCATTTCTTGAGTAGGTATGTACATGGTGCGAACTGAACTGCCCAACTTAGATTCTTCTCCGAGCGCCTCGTTCTTTTCGCTCGCATGACTCAAGTTTTGGAATAGTAGGTGCTGCTATTCGCCTACTGAAAACATTCACGAATAAATTCCTTTCCTATTTAGATGTTTTTTGTTCTTGAAACTTGTTTCATTTGCTCGATATTTCAATGTGCAACATGTTAGAATCCTATTAGTATTTTGAGCTTTCAACTGCCTTTACACTATATACTCCGAAATACTGAGATTTATATTGAAATTCACTAGGCACCACAACGCATTTCGAAATATTGCTCTGAGTTCTACTACTACGTCCACGTTCTACAGAAATGCATTATATATGGTTAATTGTCCCGCGTTTATTGTCCAGAAAGAATTTTTCATTGTGTGATATCGTGAAGTATCGATTTTTTCTAGTGAAAATCCAATCAAACCAGAATAAACTTCAGGAACGTATAAAACATCTGATGAATCGTGGTTTTGAACAGTTTGCTATTCAACGCCCACAATGTTATCTATCCAACATCTTAGACTTCAATTCTTCCACCATTTCCCTACTTTACACTTATTTCATTTGTTTGTTTGAAACTACCAAACAAACTACTGATTTAATTTTTTTTTTACATTTCCTATTGTTTGATTACTTTTGTTTCGCAGAAAAAAAATACCTATGTGTAATGCAGAAGAACATTTCAATCTGAACCTTCCTGCTTGCTGGCCTCAGCTGCGCATCGTCCGTCAAATTTAGGTGCAGTTTTGACAGTAATAGTTATCAAACTTAAATTTAATTGTTGCCAATCAATATTATCATATACCACTGAGCTATATCGTCATCAAAAAAATAAATCAGTAGCTGCAGTCAGTCTTGCACCTATCTCTACCTACAAACAAACGAACTCAAGTGGTTGAATAATTCATAATTCTTCCTATCTAAATTAAATAAGCGAGTTACACATCGGGTTCCTGCCGACAAAGTCGCCAATAGCCAGCCCGTTTGGTTCTTATTGGAGGCAAATTCGAAATCAATACTTCACACCTCCCGAAGTGGTGGCCTTTGATAAGGAAACGCCAGCAATGCACGCGCGGTGCAGTCCCCGCCACGGCATCATATGGTCAATGACCAACAACCCGAAATGCCGAAACTGGTATTTTCTGATATTCCGTGGAACCCCGACCTTCGTTTGGTTTTCGTTCGTCATCAATGTAATTGTATTTTTTTTTTCCAGGGCCTCCAGCAGCGAATTAGTTCTAAACCCAAAACAGATGTGTAAGAGGGCGCGCCGGTCGCGCTCCAAAATGGCCGATATTTGCATCAATAAACCGGGCTTGTTGCAACATATCGCCGGTGGAATTGGACTGGCACAGGCCGAGTGTCAGTACCAGTTTCGTTATCGGCGCTGGAACTGTACCAGCGCGAAGAAAAGTATTAAAAAAGTGATGCTAAGAGGTAAGAATTATTACATTCACTTTATAAAGATCAACATGGTTATCGCAATGTTAAAATCTCTTGAAATCGTCCATTCTGAATTCAAGTAGTGGCATTATCTACACCCAAAGATATTTTTTTGAAGAGCTTAATAACTGCCTGAAACTGAAGATATCTCTTTAAAACTCGTTGACAAGTGAACGTTATCTCGCATCTCTGGCTACCTGCCGGAGCGTTATCTTCTGGGTTAAATCTCTCTGTCAGTTAAGAGTCTTCGGGAGTCACTTTAGCTAAATTTACACCTTGGTAAATATGGGTAATCTTTTGCGTGTGTTTGTCAGTGATTTAGTTGTAGCTTGGTGCACCTGGGTGATTTATTATGACGTAATTTCATATGTTTCATCATTTTTCACTTGTCTTGTATATATATCAGTTTACCATAATAAAACTATATCTTTATTTTTACATTTCATAAGCCAAATTATCAAAAGTACCTACTAAAATTATTAAAAACAAATTGATTGGTACTTGTTTGACAGACCAAACTGGGGTAGGTATTAAATTGCGGGTCAATGCCCAATTATTATCCGCATTAGGAATTCACGTACCTACGTTTAGTTACTACACCTTTTCCAACACTATTTTAGAAAGCTTCAATATAAAAACTACGCTGAGGCATAAAAAATAGTAAATTATTGTATTCTTCACAGTTAATAAAGGTATCCCCTGAATAAATAGCTAGCTGGGAGGACCCACCGTTCCAAAAATATTAAATTTTCAAATCCGGGAAAAAATTATTGATCTGATCTGAGGGCGGCTTCTCATGAGCGTAATTTGACATTTATGGCGTAACAGCGTACCTGGATGCAGAATTCTGATTGGCCAAAATCCCGCCATATTGGATACGCTGACACTCTGCCGCAGATACGCCAAAAGTTAAGCAAAGTTCAACTTTTCGCGTAAAAATTCAGCGTTTTTAGAGGTTAAGGTTTCAACCGTTTCGTTTTCTTGATTTTTGTGAATTGCTTTCCATATTTGTAACTATTTGGAACTAAAGCAAAAACAAATACAAATTTGTACAATCAAAATTCAAAGAAATATTTCAAAATTTAGGAAAAAATATAATTTTGACATACGCGGCGGCGTAAATTCTCCATTCCGTGTGAATGTTGCGCCAAAATTCATGCATTTAGCATTTGCGCCAGTTATGTCAAGTTTACGCTCATGAGAAGCCGGCCTAAGACCAAAACTTATGCTGTTCCGAATATTCCTTAAAACGTATGTAGTTAGTATGGCTATTAACCAATCAAAAGCGGAATCATTAGGTCCCTAACTTTTACCATCATATTTTGGATTTGGCAATCCTGTTTTTATTTAAATACGAAATCACCGAATCAACCGAATTTGAGATGCAAAAGGCAAATAACTAACTATCAGAATAAAGCGAGATAATTTTTGTTGCAGATACTCGAGAGACTGGTTTCGTAAATGCCATTATAGCTGCTGGAATAACATATCAAGTGACTAGAGCTTGTACAAAAGGAGAACCGCTCGACTGTTCTTGTAATAAAAATAAAAATAGAAAGTGAGTACATAATCTTGCAAACTTTTCCCATATTTAATTTTAAAATCTGTTTTTATAGAAAAAACAAAAAGAAAAAATACATAAACGTTCCCGAAGGCGACTGGGCATGGAGCGGCTGCGGAGAAAACATAGAATATGGTATCAAGAGATCCAAAGATTTTTTGGACACGCCCTATAAGAAAAGAAGTGACATGAAAACTTTAGTCAAGCTCCACAATTATGTTGCTGGAAGACTAGTAAGTAATCAGGTGAATTTGTTCCTCTAGGAATCATCTAATCAAACTTTATTGTTTCAGGCCATCAAAAACTATACTCGCCGAGAATGCAAATGTCACGGTCTGTCCGGTACGTGCACGCTTAAAACTTGCATGCGAAAAATGCCAAACTTTCGAGAAGTCGGCAATAGACTAAAGCAAAGATTTGACGGGGCAGCAAAAGTGATACCAGGAAACGACGGCCAAAGTTTCATCCCCGAAGGTGACACCATTAAACCGCCGGGAAAATCTGATTTGGTTTATTCGGAAGACTCGATACCCACAGATTTTTGTCATTTAAACACCACTTTGGGTAGTTTCGGCACGCAGGGAAGATCTTGCAACGGCACCTCGCAAGGAGAAGACGGCTGCGGTATTTTATGTTGCGCGAGAGGTTTTCAAACCTACGAAAAAGTGGTGCAAAAAAATTGCCAGTGCAAGTTTCACTATTGTTGTGACGTCAAGTGTGAAATTTGCAATGAAACGGTGAAATACAGTATTTGCAATTGAATTAAATTTGTGATTTTTGGATGTTTTTTGTATATATTTGTAATTATTTATCGTGTTAATTATCTTTACATTATTGTGATTTTTTCAGTTACTAATAAAAGTTTGTAAATACTATATTTGTCTTGAGTTTATTTTGCTACTTATATCCCAATCCTCAATCATTTTATGTTCTTATTTTGGATAGTTAGAAATTATTCTTGTCAGAAATTCAACAATATTCCTGCAATCATCGAATTTTGACAGGCGGTCAACAGGAACCATTGATTAGCATCTTCTTCAGTGCAACAATGAGGCGTTGGGTGTTTTAACAAGGTAGGTATGTACCCAATCAGAGTATGAAGTGGATCTGTTTTCGCCTAAAGATACAGGGTTTGCTTATTTTTTTAGGTTTCACGTACTTACAGAGGTTATTCGGAAGATTTAAAAAATAGTTAAATAGAAATAGAAGAGTTAAATGAACAGAATGCAAAAATGTTAACGGGCATTCGTTAGGGCCGCGGAATCAATCGTTAATTGAGTCCTTGTTAGCAAAAAATAACCTCAAATTGTGCCACACAAAAACAATATCATATTGATTGATACAATCTATGGTTTTTGTTTACTAACAAAGATTTAACTGACGATTGATTTAGCCGCACTTAAACTGATTATATTTTTTGTTCAGTAAATCTTGTTTTTAGAAAGTATTTATTTTATGTAAAACTAAGAAGTTACAAGAAAAAATACTAGACTCTAAATTGCTATAGCTCAACTAAAAACAAAAGAATGAGACAAAAGGCTTCGCGCGCCGTATTTATTTTAAAATACTGTTGATGCCTGCATTTATATGGGCGAAACCTTGATATGACGGTACTTTTCCAGGCAATATCCTTTTCTCAGCACCTTTATAATATCGTGGGCTTTTACAGTGGCGTATGCTTATATTTAACATTGAAAAGGAGAATTATTTGTATAATAATAACATAAGGTTTTACAATATAACTAGCCTGTAAGCATTAAATAGCAAAAATTTAGGAGAATAGTTATTTCTCTAGGGATTTCGATTTTTGTATGAAATTGATAACTGAACAGTGAATTTGTGAAGTTGATTATGTCAATAAAGTTATTTTTGTTAATGCTGAGAGTTTTCCATCATGTACCCGTGAAACGAAGTTTATGTCAATTTGGTGTAAGAAGTGGGATAATTAGAGAGACAATTGATGTTTTAGTTTGAGTTGAACCACTAGTAGATTTATATGAGCTTATTAGGCTCGGTTGTACAAATAATGATTAAACACAAGTTCTGTTGAACTGCAGTTTACTGATGAACGTGGGTCAGAGTTTCGAGTGTTGCTCCACTGCAGGTTCACCTGAACTATCAGTTGCAATGCCCACAATAAAAAGAGGGAAGAAAATAGGCACAACCTAACCCAGTAATCCATAACCTATTAAAGTTGTTGTTAATTTTTTTTGTGTTTTCCTGTTTTCTATTAATTTAATTATATTTTCACATTTTTGTTACACTCAGGACAGATCACATGCAGATGCAAAATTTCATCTACAATGATAAATCTCACAGTTTTTTTCTCCAACCTGAATCTGTCCACGAATTATTTTTTATCATTCCAAATATTCAAATGATCTGTTTGATTTCTGAATACCTGTGGGGCTCGAGGGAGTGCAACATAAGTAATCGCTCGAGATCCATTTTTAATTAAACATAAAAACAAAATATCAAGTTGAAAAAAAAAAATAAAATTAAAAGGCAAGGTGATTCCTCATCAAAAAACAAACAAAACATAGGAGAGTGAGGTTAGAAAAACCCAAAAAAGAGTTGATCTCCCCTTGAACGCCGAAATTCGGACGTTCAAGAGCAACCTCAGTTCATAGTCTGAACCACTAGTCAGTGTGAACTTCGGTTGAACGTACGTTGTACAACCGCGCCTTAGTGGGGATAATATAGTGAATTTTTGGTAAACTGAAACAGTGACATTATTACTGGTTCTGACACCGAAACACGAACACCAAGTTCAATCAAGAACGGATTTCCTGAAAAGTTCTAGAACATTCCATAGTTCTGCAAAATTGATACAGAAATAGTGACTTACTGCTGTCTAATTCTCGAACCGAGGCAGCAGTGTTTCAGTACCCTGAGTTCTTTTCAGTTCAACGCAAAAGCTCATAGATATGAGTGAAAAGACCAAAAAATTTGTTCTCATGAGAACGCTACTTCTTTTTCTCGAGAATCAGGTGCCAGGTATTGACATCGAAAAATAAGTCCGCAGAATGATTTTTCTAAAACATTTCATTCTATTTGAAAAAATTGACAAGGTACGGGAATTTTGACACAGGATTTTATAATCAAAATCAAGTTTCAAGAAAAAACAGAGAGTATTCTATGGTAAACACGTGACAGCAAATACCGGAAATAAAGAAAGTTAATCAAATGCTGATGGACTTGACATAAAACATATCCAAAACAAGGAACAAGAAAAGGAAGCTCAAAGACAGCCAATGAGAGGCAAGAAGAGGAAGCCTGAAGGCAGAAAGGAAAACAAGAAGGATATAAATGACCCACTTCCAGCATTTTTACAACGGCAAGAAAGTCGGAGATCAGAACAAAGGTGAGAGGAGGAAGCCCGAAAACAGGATGAAGAAAAACACGAAGAATGTGAACGTCTTCATAAAAATTTGAAAATCCAGTGGAAATGAATTTGAGACGTATTCTTTGAGGAAAGAAACATACTCTAGAGAATAGGGTAGTGGACAAGGTATAATTTCAATGAAATTGATGATCTATTCTTCATCTATGGAGTAAATGAAAAAAATTCCTATTGAAAGAAATTTCAGAAAAAATTGCTAACTTGTTTTAAAACGATTGTAAAAGTAGAGTTTTGGGACGCACTATTTAAACGAAAATATTTCGCGCCTCGATTCTACGTCATAGCTGTTGTATTTGACTATGAAATGAATTAAACCTTCGTCCTATATTCGACACACACTTACTCATTAGTGCAAAAAAGAGAGATATATCAGTGTCTGTCGGGGCGCACCCTCAACTTAACCTCACTTTTTGAGAGATTTTCATTTGTCAATCAACACGCACTGAGCTTATCTGCATCTATTTCTAGAAGCATGTAAAATATAAGGACGCACTGACCGCGCTCTCGCCCACTCTTATTAATGTCGGAATGTCTTAGACATAACAGCTGTGACGTAATTTCCGGGCGGTAAATTATAGCGTTTAAAATAAGTATAAATTTGTTTATTTTTTTTTAGGTATATTTTTGTTTTCTAAAATCAAAGAATCATCAACTACTATTTATTTTGTTGTGGAGATTAATAAAAAAAATATTTCAAAAAATTGTCCACTACCCTATTATAGAAGGACAGGTTAATAAATTCAAGAATGCAATAGAAGACGTAGATACGAGACGAAGTTGAGAGTGTTCGTTAGTCAGTTGAAACCGCCAGCTTCCGAACAAAATTATGGTACTCTTGTTGATGCTTCACAGCTCTACCAGGTGAAGGTGAGAACAAAAAAGCAGAAAGCTGTCGAAAGTTTACAGAAATTTGAAACCAATTTCCGCCGTCTGATTAATTTGGCCCACCTGGAAACCAGGAATAAGAGAACAACGAGGGGCTGAAAATTTAATTACTGGAAAAAGAGATTTTGATATACAAAGAATCATATGCTCATAGCCAAACCATCTAGTAGCAACGAAGCTCCGATCAGAGACTCAAAAATGGGAGCGGCCGATAAGATTTCCAAACTAAAGATCAGTCCGGGGATTCTAAAATCACGATTCGACATACGACTCGACATCGAGACGATTATTCCGACGATTCTAGGTTAGAAATCTCATTGGAATTATACCTTTCGAGACGACAAGGCCGGTATCGTTGTCGAGTCGTGTGTCGAATCGTGATTTTAGAATCTCGACTCAGAGCTGTGTCAATAGCTCTGTTCCAACAGCCATGAGAACCGTTCCAGAACCAGTAATTTCCAGTTGCTCACCTATTTCTCAATGAGCTGAACGTTTATCCTAATTGACAAATGAATTGATCGAATGGAAACTACCGTTCTAGATCGATTCTCATGTTTATTGGAGCAGAGCTTATACAGTATGTCCTCTCAAGTTCGTAGCACATGGGAAACTTTTTTATTATCAATCAAAAAATAATATTATATTCCGGCGTGTCATAATGACATTATTATAGACTTCATTTGTATAGTGTCATAATGACATACTTTATTGGATTGAGTACTATAATGATTTCATTATAGTACTAAGTACTATAATGAAAAAAAATATATAGGTATAGCATTCCTAGGTTTTTTCATACACACTTCTAGACTTTTCAGGCATTAGGCCAGCAACTACATTATCAGCCAAATTTTCCATTTTTGGGGGTAATCCATCATGGAATTATTCATTTTTTAATGTTTGATGAACATTTCAGTGAAATCAACATTGACAATATGACAATACAAACAAACAATTGCGTTGTTACCAGCTGTCAAGCACATTACTGAAATCAGCCTTTTTCAATCATTTCCGATAAACTCAAATGCGACAATGCGACAGAAAAATGTATTGACTATAATCGCCGGAATATAAAATATTGTATGAAATTCGGATCATAAACAATCATTATGGCACATGCCGTGTTATCAGACTCGGCTGACGCCTCGTCTGATAACATTCACGGCTAGTACCATAATGATCGTCATTATGATCCTTATAACATAAATATCTATTAAAGTATTAAAACTTAAATAGCATGTACAGGGTGGTCAAAAAATAGAAAAATTTACAGCGTGTTTCCTAAGTACGGTTCGTTACTTCAGGATGTGATTCCTTACAATATTTTAGGAAAAAAAGTTCCAATAAACATGTGTCCGAATATGCGTAGTTTCTGAGATACAGGGTGTCAAAGTTTTAGAAAAAAATAGTTTTTTTCAGCTCAAAAATCCCTTTTCCAATTTTTTTTTCAAATTTTGTAGGTTTATTTGTGATAAAGAAAGGTATCTTTTGACTATAAGCCGACTTACCTAATCTGAAAAAATATCAAAGGTTTAAAAAAAAAATAGAGACGTGCCATTTTTTTCCTACTTTTACCAAAAAACCCTGTA